CAAACCCCTGCACAGAAGCCCTCCAAACTTTCCTCAGCACTGGTGAACACTCCTCCAGATGGATCGAAAAAACTGGAACCGACCTCCGCATGAATCAGATACATAATCTATGTCAAGTAAGGCAACAGCGGCACTTCTCCACTCCATGGAATATTATCCCATTCCAAACTACCATTCCTCCATTTCCCCCCCAAACTACTTCTTAAATCACAACCAAAACTTCGCCTTGAAGCCAAACATGAGGCCTTAAGCTGTATTGATAACTTAGTCACACAGCACACACTCTCGCAAATTACTTACGTCGATGGTTCTGTTCACCAATCCACTGGTGCAGCTGGTAGTGCTGCTGTTGTCGTACAGAGTGATGGCTCTCTTAAAGAAATTGGAGCACGCATCAATAATTGGGCCTCTACCCTTCAGACAGAACTGTTTGCCATACTCCTTGCACTGAAATGCATCTATGTATCAAAGATTGACAGTTTAATTGTAACTGATTCTCTGTCATCCATAAATGCTCTCAACTCATTAAGCATAAATTGTTGCATGCTTGTGTCAGAAGCCAGACACAGGTATGGTAGGATTGTGGACAGTGGAGTCAGAGTGCACATGCTGTGGATTCCATCTCACATTGGTCTTCAGATGCATTATAGAACTGATAAATTGGCAAAGCTGTATGCTTTCAAAGAGGGAGTAGATTACAATCTTGGCTTGTCAGGTAGTAGTTTGAGAACAATAATACGAAAAGAACTTCAACTGAATTTTATGGACTTAAGGCTCAGGGAGATTGACACCAGTGAGTCCATCTATCATCATTCTATCATGCAGGAGGAGCCACATGTCTATGGTGCATCCAACAAAATAAGCAGACTCTTGGATGTCACTACTGCCCGGCTCCGGCTGGGTTACAAGTATCTTTGGCAGGTTAAATCACCACCACCAGATGTAGACCAAACGAAATGTAAACTTTGCCAGATGGACTATTGTCACACCCTGCGTCATTATGTACTGGAGTGTGATAAAATTAATGAATTTAGAAACAACTCGCTCATAAATGTTCAAGAAATGGCAAAGTACTTTATCCACAGTAGTATATTGCAGACCATTCTGGAGAAATACCCTGACTTTGCTAGCTGTAAATAAAGCATTACCACATGTGTGCATGTGTGTGTGTGTGTGTGTGTGTGTGTGTGTGTGTGTGTGTGTGTGTGTGTGTGTGTGTGTGTGTGTGTGTGTGTGTGTGTGTGTGTGCACTCACCTAGTTGAGATTGCAGGGGTCGAGTCCAAGCTCCTGTGTACTCACCTATTTGTACTCACCTATTTGTGGTTGCAGGGGTCGATTCACAGCTCCTGGCCCCCTCTTCGCTGATTGCTACTAGTCCTCTCTCTCCCTGCTCCATGAGCTCTATCATACCTCGCCCTTTAAAAATATGTATGGTTCCAGTGTGTGTGTGTGTGTGTGTGTGTGTGTGTGTGTGTGTGTGTGTGTGTGTGTGTGTGTGTGTATTTGTGTGTGTGTTTGTGTGTGCGTGTGTATGTGTATGAGTGTAATGAGTGTGTGTGTGTATGAGTGTGTGGGGTGTGTATGAGTGTGTGTGTGTGTGTGTGTATGAGTTTGTGTATGTGTGTGTGTGTGTGTGTGTGTGTGTGTGTGGTGTGTGTGTGTGTGTGTGTGTGTGTGTGGTGTGTGTGTGTGTTGTGTGTGTGTGTGTTTATGTGTGTGTGTGTGTGTGTGTGTGTGTGTATGAATTTGTATATGTGTGTGTGTGTGTGTGTGTCTCAACAATCAATATTTGCACCAATAACTCACTACAGTTGTGACCGGGTGTGGAAGTGTGAATTGCTCATTACACTATAATTTGTTCATGATTGTAGCCATGTATAAACGTAAGTAACCATTCTTACAGAATTCATTACCTTTGTAACTTGTGAGTTCATTACCTTTGTACCTAGTTCAGCCATCACAACTTTGGGAGCCCAGTCCCTGGACCCATTACGTACCTCTGTAATCTGTAAATACCTTTGTAACTTGTCATGATTGTGACTAGACCTACCTGGAGTTCATTACCTTTGTAAATTGTGAGTTCATTACCTTTGTAAATTGTGAATTCATTACCTCTGTAACTTGCTCAGCTATCAAAACTTTGGAGTCCAGTCCCTGGACCAATTATGTACCTCTGTAACCTTTTGACTACCGCCCACAGGATGGGTATGGGGTGCATAATAAACATATTAAACTAAAAATCACCAATTAATTCATCCCACCTGTTAATGAATTCCTCAGGTAGAATTTCATCCCAATCACATTTAAGTTTCCATGCTTCCTGTATTAATAATTTCCCTCTTATAGTAAGGGATGACACTAAACCTAGTGAATCAAAACATTTGGTAACTTCAGCAAGCAAAACTCTCTTAGTTAATTTATTGGGCATACTCTAATTATTAGGTTTTAACATTAACAAATCTCTCTCAGTATCCCAAGTTAAACCCAATACATTACTACATTTTGGCACTTCATCTCCAGGGTAATCTTTACTTATTTTGTCCTTTAATTTGGACGAATTACTATTCCATTCTCTCAGAGGCATATTTGCACTTTGCATTATTTCACTAGCTTCTCCATAAGTCATTAGCAGCTCCTCTTCAGTTGACGTCACACCCAGGAAATTATCCACATAAAATTGTTTGCTCATTACTTTACTCAATGGACTTCCCATACGTTTAAGGTGTGCATTTATCGTCGCTTGAAGTAGGAACGGACTGGATGTAGCACCAAGTAATACGCTCCTAAAGCGAAAGGTTTTCAGAGGGCTAAGTGGGTCACTAGGATTCTCAGGCCATAAGAAGCGAGTACAATCCCGGTCAGCCTCTTGTAAACCCACTCTTAGGAAAGCTTTACTTATGTCAGCCGTAAAGGCATAGTGCTTCACTCTGAAATTTAATAAGATATCTCCTATTTTTTCCGTCAACGACGGACCTGTCATCAAATAGTCATTTAAACTAGGTACAGTTTTGTTACTCCTGGCACTACAATTAAACACAATCCTCAAAGGTGTAGTCTTAGAATCCTTCTTCACTCCGTGATGTGGCAAATAGTGACCATAAATTTTGGTTTGCTAAGGAGGTACCTCTTCTATAAATTTATTAATTAACTGCTCAGCAATTATATCATTATATGCAGTTAACAATCCTGGTGTCTTACTCAGTTCGCGGAGCTGAGTCTTTAATTGTCCATATGCCATTCTGTAATTAGTGGGCAATTCTGGATGGTTCAGTCTCCACGGAAGTCGTACCCAGCATTGTCCAGATTCAAATTTTACATCTCTCAGGTACTGTTCCTGAGTAAAAGAATCGTCTAGACTTTCTTCATTTACATTTATTCCAATGCTGTCTAATTCCTACATTTTATGCACTGGCTCAAAACCATCCTCTATGGAAGAATTATACTGGGGTACAATTTCATGAGTAAGACACACAGTTATGGTATTTGTAGTTTTCTCTAGTCATGAATTATTATTTCGAGGAATCCTACCATACATTACATGGCCTCCTGCAGTCTTCAAAAGGGTGACACCACATTTCTTTACCATACCCTTTACAAAGGAGAACTCCACTTCTGGTCCTGTTGCTAACTTATTTATAACTGAGGGGAGCCTATATCCAGCTCTTGGGCCTGTTAAAGGGCTAAGCTACAGGACTTGCTCCACTTGTTGCCTGCCTAGTTGTGCTGAGAGAGATTGGGATTCAGTTTCTGTCCTTGACACTTTCCTCCACAGGGGCTTGAGCTTCAGCTCCCAAGTCTGTTAAAGTATTGTTGATTCAGCCTCTCGTGTTGCTACAAATGTGTTCTAGTTTTCGGGTCTGTTACCATAGGATGAACTCAGATTCTAGGCCTGGGATTGCAAAACAGCTTGTAAGACAGCTATTCATTATCTTGTACATCCCTACAACTTAATCAAATTCAGGAAACAATTTGCTATGATTACTCTCTAATTCAATTCATTACATCGAAATCTTAATCCCAGATTCCCAGGACTCGCCGAACAATTCACCTTAAAACTCGGGTAACTCACATGTTCTCCTATGCTTCACCCACACTCTCCGGAATAATAATAATAACAATAATAATAATAATAATAATAATAATAATAATAATAATAATAATAATAATAATAATAATAATAATAATAATAATATATTTATAAAAAATATAGTTTTATGTCCATTAAATACAGTACAGTATACAATTGACATAGGATTAACTGACATGTATAAATACTTTACAGAAAGTCCCCTTGTTATGTAGAGCATTTCCGCAAACTTAAAATTAACTTGTAACTATTGAACAATTATTTAAATAAGTCAGTTTACTAATATGCTTTGGTTTATAATCTCTTTCTGATTTATATTGCATTTAAATTTATAATTTATGACTGAGTTTTATATGACAATTTTTGTACAACACTTGCAGTGTTAAATACTGAGGAAAAGCATATTCTAGTTATTACATATGTTGACATATATTGGTGATAAAATATCTGTATGAATACTAATATTTTTGGAACAACAAAATTGCTATTGATAAACTGAGCCTAAACATATCCAATGTTCACTAATATTATCGACTTTTTAACTGAAAATAACAATATCTAAGAGAGACACCAGGCTTTAAGAAATATGTAACTCATCATCAGTAAACCCTGTGTCAAAGTTATATTTTACTGAGTAAGTAAAATGCCTAATATTTTATTAATTTTCACTTTTACGTCTATAATTAAGAGAAAAAATATCTGAAAAAATTAATTTTAAGTGGAGACAAATAGCTTCGTGTGTCGCCCAAGATATTAAACTTACATGATTCGCAGATCTAATTTCAACCAGAGACCGGAAAATCGCTTGTCATATGTGACCTTGCTTGAGTGTGGTGGAGGGTTGATGACTGGGGGTCTGGCTGGAGGTATAAAGCCAGGCTCCTGGCCAGGGAGGAGACAGTGACTGCTCACCATCCCAACACTGTATTACTAAACATGTTCACTTCTGTGAGTATCATTATTCACAATACCTTAAAATGGTTCCTTGTTTACTTGCGTCATAGAAAAAATGTAATTCGAGATTCTATTTTTTGAGAAATTAGCGTTGAAAATTAAATAAGAAATCGAAATGTAATTAAGTTGCATTTGAAATCAGATATTTCTTTCTTTCTTTCGTTTTCAGCTTCACGTCAGTAATTTATTAGTTACATCCATGTTTCACATTAGCAATGATACTTTAATATTCCGTGTGGTCAACTCAGTACTATATTGTTGAAAATTAGCAGTTAAATAGCATTGCAGTTTGCATAATAACATTGTAATATCATATAGTCTATGTTCAACACACTTTTATATCACGATCCAAATTATGGAGAATATAAACTAAGGAGTAAGAGTAATAATATAAATATTTTCCTAAGTCTTGTGTTCCCACAGGTGGTGTTGCTGAGTATGCTGGTGGCCGCAGGTGTGGCTCTCCCAGGGGGATACCAACAACCCTCTTATGTACGTCATCCATTTTTTATATATATATAATAATTATTTGAATGTTATACACACTGCATCCTCTTTATTTAAACGAAATTCATTTAAATAAAGTAATAAGTAAATTAATGCATGCGTGCAAATATGATATCCACAGGCTCCGATCCCTTACAATTTCAACTATGACGTCAACGCTGGAGCCACCAACTTTGGCCAGCAAGAGAGTGGTAACGGTGGCAACGCCAAGGGCTCCTACTGGGTCCAACTACCAGACGGTCGACTCGAGAGAGTTGATTACTGGGCTGACGGTAGTGGATATCATGCTACAGTGTCCTTCCAGGGCACTGCCAAGCATCCCAGTTATGCTCCATCTTATGGTTACTAGCTAATAACTACACTATTACTGAAAAATTATCTTGATCATTCTCTAAGAAATTTTTTTTTCGATATGATCTCCTTTTACAAGTCACTTTTCACTGTCTACTTACCTGAATGCATTTGTAACAAATTATGAACGTTAATGTCCGAAACAAGATAAGTGTCTCATGGCAAAGGTCTTTTTAGCTAATGATCCATCAGATGGTTAGATGTCCACTGGCCTACAAGATCTATATTTTCATTCCAGTGAAAAAATAAAGGATCATCAAATAGTAATGACCTAAGTTTCCTTAACGTTTAGTTAACATTGCTGGGTGTTGTATTCAATCCTGTTTAATAAGTTTCATATATATGTCTTGCAGTTTCTCTAGCAAGCAACTGTTAGTAAGTGTATAATCTATCAACTTAATATTTGTTACATGTTGCACAATTTTATATTTATTTATTGGGAGACTTCTTATATATAACGCGAATAATCAAGAATTTGTCGAGAGATCTGAAGAATGTATTTTTCCAAAATAAACTAAATACGTGTAAAATGTATTTTTACTTATTGTTTCCCGTGTAATGAGTTTCTTGGACCCCGTGAGAAGTGTTCCAAAGGGGTGAGTGAAACAAACATTCAGACTCTGGGAACAAATTAATGAATATTGAAAATATTATCAACAATAAATATTGTTACATCTAGTGCAACAACTCAGCGTCCCACCTCGAGGCATTTATTATGAAGATGGTATAAAATACCGTCACGATGGAAAAATAAACACAAATACAGTATAATGTGATCCGTCGTTGACAACGTTTCGCCCACACAGTGAACTTTATCAAGTCACAACTTAGCGTCCCACCTCGATTTTTTTGTATCTTCTACATATTTATTATACTGAAAATGTTTATAAAATTAAAAGAGTAAAACCGTTTACTTGCTGCGTCATATTGTTAGTGTAAGAAAAATGGATATATACCACTAAATTTTTTCACAAAAATATATTCTCTAAAATTACGGTAAAAATAATTGAAAACTAGATTATAAAACTATAAGAATGCAAGCAAATTACGTGGAGCCACATGAACACGAAAAGTCAGCGAACTTTTGATGAAGAACAGTTATAGTATAAAAAACAGGAGCCATTAAGACATTGGCAGCACACAAATTTTAAGAATATTATGATGCATACTGGTAATCTGTCAGATTAGTAGCAATTAATGAGCTTAAAGATAATATGGGAATTAGTGACGCGAGTACATGCTGTGAACAGCAGTTTGCAAGTGAGTGAGGAACACTCATTGATTCATGTCTGGAATGATACCAGTGCAACAGGACATCATCTTTTAAGACTTGAAGATAATAAAAACCTGCTCATGGTCGTTCTTGCCACTAACATGGCTTCAAGTGATACTTTAAGTATCAGTAGGGCGAATTCTTCCTTTGTATTCTTTAAGGTCTCTTAAAAAGTGAGCAGCGAATTTTGTAAAAATAAAAGTCGGAGAAAGCAAGATGATCAAGAAATAGAATAAACATTTGATGTATCACTGTTTGGCGACAATGTCTAAACCAGAGTCCATCGACGTTTATTAGTCAGTTGAAATTAATGTTTATTATCTAAACAGTGAAGGATATTATTAACTTCCCTATGTTAAATATATATGGAAAGCACAGACTGGTGACCTCAGTGAGAAAGTAGCTTAATTAGATATGAGTGTGTTTCCCGGTTCATTTTCAAATGTTAAACTTGACTGAACCTTAGCTGTCTACTCATCAGTCAACGTCATGAGCTGACTTCTTACTTTCTCCTATTTCCTGTCACATTCGCCACTTTATCAACGCCATAAGAATCCCAAACGTCTGGTTTCATTTCCAGTTTGTTGCTTAATTACGATTTGCTCTAGTCATAGTAATGTGTCTTACGTAGTCTTTACTGAAGTCACTATGGAACAAAAAAATTATTACATTAAAAAAAGTCAGAAACAAGCTAAATTTCTGTACCTAATAAAGGACAAGTTGAGAGGGGATAACATCCAGCTCTTGGGCCTTTTACTTAATTAAATGTGTTGAGTTCCAGGTCCTAGCCTTATTTCTCATCTACCCAGATGTTATGTTATGAGATCAAGCTGCAGCTTCCGGGCATGATACATCCTTCGGATTGAGATGACAATCCTAGGCCCTGGTGAGGGTGTTGAGTTTGCCTTCCTAACTCTTCAGGAATGGTTCAACTCCAGCTTCTAGGCCTGAAAGGTATTTAGGGAGATCAGCAAAAACTAATGCTCCTGCTACTAAAAATTGAGCTCTAGCTTCTGGGTCATGTAACTTCTCTCAAGCAGGTGAGTTCTAGCTCCTGTAACAGCTGTTCATTATCACCTACACAATTTTAGTTCATTGAAACAATCCTCATGCACTACTACAGTTAACATCCACATAATTCCCGAATACCTATAACTAAATTCTCGACCTTTCACACACCTGCAACTCTATTACCAATGTTGCATACACGTCCCTCTTCCATCCATTGCACTCACTCCCACACATCTTAAACTCACCGGCTATTCTTCGTCTGTCCCCACTTCCCCGCTCACCAACATGTGGGTCTTACCTGTGAGTCTCTACCTACTTCTATTTAACTAATATATTTCCACAGCTCACGTCCACACCCCTCGTGGGTTTTTTGAGCTAGTTAAGTTCCAGCTCCTGGCATTATTGCAGTTGTGGTCCAGCTTCTGAAACTGACACTTATCTCTTCACCTTTTACAAACCTGTCTGTAAATGAGGGGATCGAGTTCCAGGTCTTCGGCTTGTTGAGTGTGCTGGCCTCCAGGACCTGGTCTATATGTCATCCACAGGATGGGTATGGGGTGCATAATAAACATATTAAACTAACAACTACCACACTAGGCACAGAAATCACCACAAATTCACCTCTGACTTACTGAAATAGCCTTGCTGGGCTGAAAATAGCAACAGCAACACACAAGTAACACTGAACACGTGACTTGAGAAGAGCATAGGTACTGTGAAGTTCCAGGTGATGCCACAAACATTTCTCGAGGAAAATTCAGCAAATTTCCGCCTAAATCCTGCTGATCCTGTGTCTGAATGATGAAACTTGCACACAAGACTTCAGGATAATGCTTAGAGAGACGGATGCTTCTTGTATGAGGTGACGAAGTGAAGACATCTTCATTCCTCCCTTCCCCTCTCGGGCAACACAACTGCTGCAACCACCGCTGTCACCATTTATAACAAAATAATTACGTCGTTGTGCAAGCAGGGGGCAAGGATAAGGCTTCGGAAGCTTCTTACTTTATTTGCGAAGATCGTGGGTTCACAGGCAGTGTGTAAGTTGCCCTGGCCCAGGAGGGCCACGCCCAGTGAGGGAGAGAGGAGTAGGCCTTGTTGACTCTAGGTTGCCTGGTTGTCAAGTGAGAGAGAGGCAGGTCTGGGCATACCCACCTAGAGACCTGTCCGCTGGTGGAAACTATGTGCACTAGCCAAGTAGGCTTATTGCCTACATTTTGCTGGGCCACCTATCCATGGTCGTCCTCGACCATGATTGGCTGTAAAAAAAAAAATTGGTATCTCTCTCACAGGAACAAGGCACAGAACAGAGAATATATATATATATATATATATATATATATATATATATATATATATATATATATATATTATATATATATATATATATATATATATGCAAAACAACCACTCTGAAAAAATAGAGAAATTCCAAAGATGAATTAGTCAAACAATTTACTTCCACTAATCCATCTTTGCCTTACATGTATGGACTAATAAAAACACATAAACCAGGGAATCCAGTCAGACCAATTATTAGCTCCATAGGGTCAGTTTCATATAAATTATCCAAATGGCTTGTTGATATTTTGAGCCCTATTGTTGGCAAAATTTCTAACTTTAATGTTAAAAACAACATAGACTTGGTTGATAAATTAAGCTCCTTGACTGACTTAAATGATTTTAACATGGTTAGTTTTGATGTTACTTCCTTGTTTACGAAAGTTCCTGTTGATGATTTATTAAGCTTCTTATCTGAAGAACTCGTTAACTATGATTTACCATTGCCAGTTCCTACTATCATTAAACTTATTAAACTTTGCATTGTTGATGCAAAATTTGTATTTAATGATAAATTTTACACTCAGAAGTTTGGTATGGCAATGGGAAATCCTCTTTCGCCTGTTCTTAGTAACCTATACATGGAATTTTTTGAAACAAGGTTACTTAACACAATCCTCCCTAATAGAGCTAAATGGTTCAGATATGTTGATGATATTTTGTGTCTTATGCCCAAAAATGTAGATATACACCATTTCCTTGGAAAATTAAATAGCTTAGCCCATTCTATAAACTTTACTGTTGAGTTTGAAGAAAATAACTCATTGCCTTTTCTAGATGTTTTAATTATTAAGGGTAATAATGAATTCAAATTTAAAATTTACAGAAAACCTACAAATAACTGTTCCTATGTCCACTATTATTCCTCGCATCAAGATAGAGTCAAACTGTCTGTTTTCTCATCAATGTTTCTGAGAGCTTTACGAATTTGTAGTCCTGAGTTCATAGATGAGGAAATATCCAAAATTTATGAAATAGGTAATGATTTAAAATACCCAAGAAATGTAATTGATAAATCTTTTAAAGTTGCTAGAAATACTTTTTACAATCCAAAAAGGGACAACCAGCCTTATTCAACTAAAAATATGTTGGTTCTCCCTTACCATGAAAACTTGGTTGATATGCCTTCTCTTCTTAAGACTTTTAATATTAAAATTGTATTCAAAAATCTTGATGCAGTAAAAAAACTTTTGATAAAGAATTCCCCCCAAAATGCAGATGGATGTGTCTATAAGATTCCTTGTAAAATTTGCGATAAAGTTTATTACGATCAAACTGGTAAAAATCTCGAACTAAGATTAAAACAACATAAATATAGCATTAGAACTGGACAAGATTCCAATGCTCTATTTATTCATGTAAGAGATTTTAACCATCCAATTGATTTTCAAAAAGTTGAGAAAGTAGTATCAAGCAAGTCCATGGTCGACAGGAATATAATTGAATCTTGTTTCATAAAAAGCAGTTTTGACAATAATATGAATATTTCCTTTGGTTTATATAAATTAGATCCATTTATAATTAATAGAATTTGGGAAGAATTTAATAATACACTGGACAAATAATTTTTAAATTTTCTTGGGTAGAATAGTTTGTGGGGTGAGTTGTGCAAAGGACCCATCCAAGTTGGGTCGGCGCGCGTCAGGTGTTTAACCGTTGTGGGATCTGATATTGAGGTGCTGGCCAGACCCCTTATATAGCTTCCTTGGATGCTTTACTTTCATAATTCCTTGATAATGTGAGTAGTCACGAAAGCGCTTGGAATTTCTCTATTCTTTCAGAGTGGTTGTTTTGCATATTCTGAAATCACCTGTTTACTGTGATCTTATTGCATATATATATATATATATATATATATATATATATATATATATATATATATATATATATATATACATACATACATAAAGGAGTAAAGGGGTAAAGGAGGTTTCGTGGGCAAGGGGCTTGGACTTCCAGCAAGCGTGTGTGAGCGTGTTAGATAGGAGTGAATGGAGACGAATGATATTTGGGACCTGACGAGCTGTTGGAGTGTGAGCAGGGTAATATTTAGTGAAGGGATTCAGGGAAACCGGTTATTTTTATATAGCCGGACTCTAGTCCCGGAAATGGGAAGTACAATGCCTACA